GCAAAGGAAAGTCATGCTGAATTGTTTTACTTCTTTCTTGGGATGTGCTTGGATACAATGAGGTTATCAAGACCAACTCAACCACAAAATCAATGCAGTAAATATAGACAGAAATTAGAAGTATCACAAAAACATCTAGTTACAAAATCACTCCAAAGGTTTAAATATTTTACCTAATTTGGGGAGGGGGGGAAGAAAAAACCACACACATTACCACCAAGAAAAAACCACACACAAAAAAGGTGAGCAAAAAGCAGTACAACCATGAAGGATCAGGAGGGATAAGTTTTCTAACTGTAAGAGGCAGAGGGATAAAGTGAAGCAAACATCATTTTGTTGTCTCACTACACCCTTGGCTCTAATTATGTTATCTGCAAAAATGGTTAGAGAAGGCTGGGGATAAAGTGGGAGCAAATATAAAACATGAGATAAATAAACCAACTCTGTTTCTTCTACCTGCATCTCTAGGCTGACTCACTATATTACAGCTAAATGAACTGAAATGGCTGACAAGGAGTTTTTTGTTAGATTACTGGTCAGAAGTGCTGTAAGTTTCTTTGGCTATTTACAACCATGTGATGGTGTCACTTGGACTGTGAATTCCTAACTACACAGGGTGGTTTTCTCCTCCCATCATGACAGAACAACCCAAAAAGTACTTATTCTTTCTCAGGTGAAGGTAGACAGAGGTTGATAAAAACTAAGTACAAAATATTAATTTGGTACTTGACTGGAAACTTTATATCTGGACAGTTTTTAAGACAATAACAAAATTTCCACAAGTGAGTCAATTTCTGGGGTAATTGTCTATTGCTGGGAAAAGGACAGAAAATGTTTCAACAGCAATGGATACATCTCACACAGACCCTGAGAAAGCTCAGCTGCTGGAGCAGCCCACACTGTCTACTGAAAATTTCCTTTCCTCCTGTTATTTAGGGATGGCAGAATAACAACTTATTTATATGGAAAATTTTGTTGGAAAATAATTTGAAGAGAAACTAGTGGACACAAAGGAGAATCACTGTATTTCTGATACACTTTGATCAGGAAAATGGAACATGAAAAAACAACTTTGACTGTTCCAGAATTTTTTATTCTCATATACTCCACATCTTGTCATTCAGCCTAACTACTTCTGAATGCTCAAACCATGTGGAGATGCTTTTTTTCAAGACTGTTTCTGTACAACTTGCAAAAGGCAAGCAATTAGAAAACATGATGCATGCATATATTTTTTTAGTATTCAAAAATAGACATTATTTTCCATTTGATAGATCAAAATGTTGCAAAAAATCCTACAGCTATTCTTTTCCTTATAAAAAAAAATAAATAAATTACTGTACTGTGAACTAGGCCCTTCTCAAGTGTCCGGAAAAAATTTAAGTCCCTAAACAAGAATCTTTATGCCATTAAAGTCTACAAGGTTCTGCTCTAGTGGAGGAAATAAGTCAAGAAATTCTCAAAAGACCTAATTACAAGTACTACTACTACTGTATCTGAACAAGAGAATTGACTGAAGCACAAAAGATGTTAAGGAAAGAAAGTGTCTCCTTAAGCTACATAAGCCTCAGATTTCACTTTTTAATGTTGAAGCATTACTATTTAAATTAGTATGCATCATACTTATGGTCCAGGTAAATGTCCTTATTAAATAACTTTTCTAAAAAAGGCTCTGAAGAGAAAAGGATAGATAAAAAAACTAACATCAGATGGATATAATAAACTATAATTAACTCTTTAGACCAACAGGTAGCAATAGAACAGTATCCTAACAAATTATTTTGTCCACTTTCTAAATTACAAAGCCATGCAAAAAATTAACCCTACTTTTCCAGAAACTCAGAAAAACTACTTGTAATATGTCTTTTCTATTTGAAATGCAAGTTGAAAAATTCCAAAGCAGAATGCAGAACTTGATAGTTCTGTCTGGATCAACTAGATTAATTTACAGGGACTTGCTCTTTAGGATCATTTTTCACCTCACAGCTTGTTATTATTAAGTAGAATACAAATATTATATGACTTTCCTAAGAGGAGCTGACCATACATAGATTTGTAGAAAGTCCAAAAGCAGAAAGACTCCTAAGGCCTGAAACACCTGGTGGGTTTGTGACCTTTATCAGGAGTACAGAAGTTTTCATCTATAATTATTTCCCCTTAACACAGAAGGTATTTTATGTCAATTAGGTAATAGAACAATTGTGTCTTGCAAGGCATTGACTGAGTGTATTTACACCACTAGATGAAGGGTTTTGATGAGTTGTTACCAGAACATGACAGTGTCATATCAAGGATTATAAGAAATATGACTGAGGTTATTGTGACCCTCAGTAACAAGAGGCCATAGCTCACGACTTCATTGTGCCTACTAGAAGGAGGCTTTAGTCTTGAATTGTCCATAGCTACTCCTTATGTCAAAATTTTTAAAAGAAGGCAAGTCCATTAAAACTGATTTAGCATATAAATAGAATATAAAAGATGGATTACCTTAGAAAAAAAAAAATAATCAGAGTAGTAGAGAAGATTAAACTAGATTCTTCTCAGAGGTGCACAGTGGTAGAACAAGCAATGGACAAAGCTGGAACACAATTTTATTCAGCTATTTATTTTCCCACCACAAGTGCAATCAATCAAACACTGAAAAACTAACCCAGAAGGGCTGATCAAGGCCATTGTGCAACCTGTTCTAACTTGATCTGGGTTGGAGCAGAAAATTAAACTACACAATCTATTTAGTCCAACCAACAAAACTGCATTAATTTAGACATGGATAAACCAGCAACATAGTGTTTCTATTGTACTGGAAGTATAAAAATAAAAACTTCATAAGATAACCCAGACTGTGTCTTAGCAGACAGTGGAACTTAAATCATCAGCAGATGCACTGCATGTCCAAACATTTGAAATTTTGCCACCACAAGTCTTGTGATGATTCCTTCACAATCAGTACATTTAATCCCAGATTTCTCTTCAGTTGTCCCTTTGTTCTTCAAGTCATCAAAAAGCACTCTTACAATCATACATCACAGCCATTATACTAAAGGCTAAAAGTTGTAACAACTATTTCTATAAAAGAATGTTGTACAACATATAAAACTATTATATCTTGAAACTCAGAGACTTGCCCTCTGTATGAAGGTACACACCTAAACCTCACAGAATTCCTTTGTTCTTAACTAGAAATCAATAAACACGGATAAAATGTAGTCAGTTAGATTGCATTTCATCTTATTTGCTATTTTTTTAATCACAAAACCTGATCAGTCATACCCACACAAAGACACTTAAAAGAACAAGTGTTACTGAAATCATAATATGAAAACATGTAGCAGTAATCCTACATACAGACCAGAGTTCAAGATGCTGAGAAAAGTCAATAGTCAAATTATTATCACTATCATTTTTTTCAAGTCTTAAGTACAGCTTTTTACTGCAAAACCAAGATCCATTACTTAAGAATCAGTAACAGAGTCATGCCTGAATTCAACACTCCACTCCTACAGAATTACTTACAAACTCACTCTAAACCTGAAACAATGACAATTTCAACTCTTCCTGCAACCACAATGCACATATAGTAGTTTCCTTTCCACTTTGGGTTCATCTGGAAAGTCAACAAAAATATTCCAGCTTTTTTATTAGAAGAGTTATTGCACTTCAGAATTGATGTATCTTATTTTCCCACTGAAAACCCCCGGTATTACTCAGTCAGTCCATAGTAATACATGAATCTCTTATAAAAATTCTACCTGGAAATTCAGTAATAATCATTAAAGAGCAACAGACCATCAGCTGGACTTTTATGAAGTCAAAAGAAAGGAAAAAAAAAAAGAAAGAAATTGGATGTATTTTCTTTCTAATATACCTTCTAGAAAGCATTTGCCTTTTAGCTCCCATCACCTTCAAAGCAGTTTAAACACATGAGGACAGATTTTCACCACATACTTGGATGTTGCTAGGCTGAAGTCTGTTCCAAGGAGTTACAACAGAGTATTTTTTCAAATTCAGATATCCACAACCGAAAAGGTACACACTGAATTTATGAAACATTAAATGCACAGAAATATCTGATGGCAACTAACCCTGCTCCTTGCAAGTCTTGTCACAGGCTTATTTACTAATGATAAAGAATTGGATATTTGCTTATGGGGAGATAAACACAACAAAACAAGAAAGAAAAATTTCAGCCATTTCTAAAATCAATAGTTCAATATATCGCAGTAAAAGTTTTCATCACAGTGAAAATGAAAGTCTTTATGATTACATGAAAAATTAACCCAGCTACTGGCAACAGACAGCTCAGTGAGCCACAGCTGTATGGTAAATGGTGGTATTTCCAAGTGAAGTAAATATTCTCTAGAGACACAACATGACATTCCAGGCACCTGTTTCTCCTTGTACACTTCCTGTGGTGTAGCTCATTATGGCTCCCAGACAGCCACTAGGAAAGATTACCTGAAACCGATTAAAAACCTTAACTATTTAAAGTGCAATTATTAAACTACTTCATAAAAAAATGCCACACCCTGCCATCAATCACACTGGATGACTGGAAATAACAACCTAGGCATCAAAGTAAACTTCGTGAGTTCTGTCAGCAATACAGAGCTCATTGAAAAGTCTCAGCCTTACCATCACAGCATCATTAAGGCACCATCAGTTTGTAATACAACATGCCTGTAGACACGTTCATTCAGGTTTTGATTTGACATATTTTTCAGTATCATGCCTGTGTGTTCTGTGTCAACCAACAGGCAATTTTTTTAAAAGAGGAACAATATTTTCTAGTTATCCATATGACTCAACCACAATCACAGTTGAGTTGCAATTTACAAACTGCAGGATTGTAGCTATCAGTGAACAAAATCTTAAAAAACTCTGCAAACACTCAACCCATTTCCTGCCTAATACAATAACAAGAGAAACAGAGAGAAGATGAAACAATTAAAATTGGGATAAAGAAAAAATAAGAATACATATGTTTTGTAGGCATTACTCACCAAAAACAGAGTTCTGAAGTTGCTCAGATCACCGAAGAATTCTTCTATGCTTATTGCTTTGGGATCAAAGGTAAAGTATTCTCCCAGATTTTCATACAATTTGGTCATGTTGTTGTGCATGTTGGACAATTTTTCATATTGCTCTCGGGCACTCTCAGCAAAGCTGTAAGGTTTTGTTAAGGAAAATGATTCAAATATTATAAAATCTAAAAGAAAATTTAAAAAGTAAAGAAAACAGTACAAAGGTTAGAACTGGAAGAACTACCAGTGCTGTCCTGTTTTCAAATATGACATTTCCATGTTGTTCCATTTGCATCATGGTCCATGACGTTTACATGTCTGCAAGGTCAGACCAACATAAGGTGGTGGCACACTTTTCCATTAAATGATCCCTTTCCTATAGCAAAGACTTGCCATTAATACAAATTTATACAATTATAACAGCTGACTTGAAAATTCCCAGGCATCTTGGATATTTTTTTCTTGTAATAATTTTTTTTTTTTTTAAATACAGTCTATGAAAAGACATACTGAAAATTAGTATGTTATGAGACTCTGTTCAAGTGACATTACATCCTCCATCTCATGTACATATATACAATACATAAAATTGGTATTGTGCTTAACTACCAATGACAAAATTATATATAGTATAACATCTCATTTTCTTTACCTTTTATTTACCTTGAATAAATGTGTTGTCTTTGTGGATTCTGAAATGCCCCATACAGCTCAGCTCATACCTCAGGTTTCCTGTACTAGGTATTATTATCTGGGGTTCTCTCAACTATGTGATTTCACTGAACTTAAAAAAAATGGAATACCCACCCACCTGCCCCAGTAAACCAATAAACAGCTTTGAAAAATGATGAGTAAGAAAACTACCATGGAACAACCCAAGTTTATTTTCCTAAGAAGTATGGAAATCTAGAAAAGAAACTGGTATTTGCTTCTATGCTGACAGTGGTCGTTAGAAGTTTGGCATAACCCTTATAAACAGAAGTGGTGAAATCAACTAAGGGAAATACTAGTTTACTTTGAAGCAAATAAGTTTTACTTTGCTGTTTTCTTCTGTGGTGGTTGTTTATATCCACAAAGATACAAAGTCTCAAATCACTGTTAAAAAAAAAACAGCTAGTACATGATTGAACTGGTTCTGCTGATCCTGAAGGGTAGCTGATGAAAGTGGTGTGCTGTACATATCAAACCCAAGAAGAAAAAACACAAGTTATTCCCTGAACTACAAAAATCACACAGCCTGGCTGCCTGTGGCTTTAACTTGTAGTAACTCTTCCATGCGGATTCTGATTCTTAATACAGTGGTGCTCATGATTCCACCTTTCCCCATACTCTAATTTAAGATTCTGTCTAATATAACATTCCTAATTACTCCATATTTTTGAGATCCCCATCTCTCTGCTGAATAACAAACAACCTGGAAATTATATAGAAGAAAGAAACATACAGAGTAATTGTATAAACCATTTATTTTTTAGCTTAGACTAAACCCAAAAATGATTTTTCATAAAATAGCCAACAAATTGCAGGATAAAGAAATTAAATTCAGGTGGATAATCTATTCACAACCTTTCCATAATGTTTGGATACTGTCGAGTACTTCAAAGGCTGTCACTTCAGAAGCTACATACAAACCCAACTAAACTGAAAACATCTTCCATTAGAAAGAGGCTCAGCATTTCACCTGGCTTATCCTGCTCTAACTAAAGAGATGGTATGTAAATGGTCACTTAAAAGCTGATTTTCTAAAAGTACAATTGAAAACTTTATATAATGTAAACTTTTTTGTAAAAAATTACTTTCCAGGTAAACCCTTCTTAGTTAAAGCCTCAGTAGAATAGGAAAGCTGTACTTACTACTCATTTAGAATAGCAAAAAGAAGAAACCAACAATGTGATGTATCGTAATTTATACATATCAGGATTTTGAAATGGTAATAACTAGCTATATAGTTTCATACCATTGCAAACCCAGTACTAATAACTATATTTTCATTTATGGAAATGAGGTCTAATATGCTTGGTTAGAATTTCAAGCTTGTACTGTTGAATTGCTCATCTTAATAGACCTCAAATTTGATAAAGTTCAGTCTTCAACTTTGCAGTACCAAAATATTTACTTGCAACAGTTTGCATTAATATAGACTGAAACTTTAATGAGTGCTTATTTAAAAACTCTAGGCAAGGTTTCATCCTCACTATTCTGAACCAAAATAAAAATCACAGAAGTATCAAGTGTAAAGATGCTTGTTCAACTAAGATAAATAACAACTCACAAGCTTGTTGTTCCACAAATATTGTTTCAAAATCATAAGAAAATTCTAAGCCAAGACTTCACTTCAAATACTAATAATTGAAAAATTAAAACCAAATAAAACAACAATTGGAAACATTTTTCTATCTTCAGTATCATACCTATCTCCCAAATTTCCATATAAACCAAGAGAAATGGGTTTGTAAGTCTAAAGAGTCACTGCTTGACTAAGATTAAGAAACACACCACTGCAACAAGAACAGAACTTTCTCTAAGGTTCTTCTACATTATCTAATCACCACGTAGGCAACTCTGTAAGATAATCCTGAGTTTTGAAATACTATTATTATAGTACTAGTACTATAGTACTAGTACTATTATTATAATACTAGTATCAATAATGGTTACTAATGTCCTGGTTTGAGCCAGGAAAAGGAAAGGTAAAGGACAGTTTATGCCCTCTAACCCATTTTCTGTTCTTCCTTTGAATGCTACTGCAGATGTCAACTACTCAAAATTACTCTAAAATTTTCTAATTATATTTCTGAAGAAGTGCTATTGCAGTTTGCAATTTCCAGCTAGCTTCCAAAAATGCTACTTATTTCATTGGTCTCAACACAGCACTTTGAGATTAATAAGCAATTAAACAAATGTGTACTAACTGGTATCAGAAAGTTACTATATGCTTTATCTTGCAATCCAGTAGAACTCTCCGTATGCCAGGCTGCTAAAGAACTCTAAAGAAGATTAAAATGTAAACAAATAAAATAAGCTTCATGACAAAGATCCAGGTAAATGTGGATCATTAACTCTCATTATCCTTTTTACTTCATTAACTTTTGTTGCCAAATTTAATTTATGTACTAATTCCACTTTTTCCTGTTTGCCTCATGGTAAGAGAGACTGGGAAACTTCCAACTTTTTTTTTTTTTTTAAACAAACATATTTTGTTTGTGTTTTCATTACAGCTGCCAGCTGAAGTTTCCATCCAGTTCTGTGGTTTGTTTACAATAACCACCACCAGGAAGTGGGGGGCAATGTTTAGATACCAAGATGTACAAGGATTTCTGCAATGAGAATATTACATGCAGTGTCATTATCAGAATACAAGTAAATATTAGTACGGCTGTATAAAGTCAACTGTAATGACTACAAATATCTTTTCTGATTTTTTGCACTTTGAAATATGACCAGATGACTACAGTTTGCTGGCATTTCAGTGTTAATTCTCTTAATTAAGCAAGCAACGGATGCAAATGTTACCACGACACTATGCTACCACAATATGTCAGAGAAAAAAAATCACCAGCTACCAACAAGAGTAGAATGAAATTATTTATGTCCATGTTAGAATGACTACAATGGTATTCCCATGCTTTCTTCAGGTTTCTTCCATGAGAAAAAAAAGGTGAGATAAATCAATACTAAAGACTTGAAATCTGCTGGAGGAAAAATCATCACTTCTACCTTAACATTCGCTATGATTTCTATCAATATGTCAATAACTTGAGTAATAAGGTTAATAAAGTACCTGAACACACAATAAAAACTCACTTGCTCAAAAGCAAGACCTATTACTGCATTCACAAAGAAAATTAAAGCCAACACAGGCAGCTTGGCATTCATCAGTAATGAATATGCCATAGTAGAAAAAGACATTGGTGATTTAACTATAATAAATGCACTGGTGTTCCAGCACCTAAAAAGGCCCTCTCCGGGGCACTGAGTCACTATAAAAATGGAATTCAATGGCTGTTGGCCAGAGGTCTGAAACAGCAAACCACACAAACCACAGAGCTGATGTCTTCGGTACCTTCAGAAGAAAGAACGCATTGCAAGATAGAAAGGAGATACCTGCCAGGAACTTCTAAACACTCCCCAAAAGCATTTCAAAAAGTGAATACAGGTTCTTGTGACATGTCCCTCCAGCTCCTGGTTACAGGAAGCTGAAAACTGGTGCAAGCAGCATTCCACTGAAACAGTTTTCCACATAATGCTTGATTCTCGAGTTTGGGCTGACCCCCAAAAAGTCATTTAACAAAGAGACAGCTGCCATTATGCTAGAGATGGCAAAAAGATTTGGGCAAAAGAAAACAAAAGGCCACTGGCATTGAGATAGAAGAAGTTCTCATTTATAAATATACTCAGCCTGAAGGGAAAGAATCAATGGATTTAGCATATTTATATAAATTAGCACTATAATGAGGAGGTAAAAAATAATCAGCCTGGGATTTTCTAGGAGTCTGGAATGTAAAGATACCTAAACTTATTTATTTAGATATCTGAGCTACTTATTTTCCACTTAACTTGAGTCTTACTCAGTGTATCAAGGTTTCTTATTCTACTGAACACACTGATCCTAATACTCATTACACACCAAATCTGTTCTCAAAAGACAGCACAGCATCACTAAAAATCAGAACTGGCTTCATTATAAATCTCGATATGATTCCCTTCAAATTTGCCCACACTAGTATTTTTAGGTGAATTTGTTTGCTTCTACATTTGCATTTTATATGACACACTAGTTTTAGATAAAAATTCTAGTAAATCATAATTTATAATTTACATTAGAAACGCTGGGAATCCATTTACTATTTCAAATTATTTTTTCTTAAAATAAAGCATTTTTGAAAAACACAGTGTTAGCTTTAAGTTGCAGATTGATAAATCTGCACTAAGGAGTGCAAAATGCCAGTGAACTGTATCATTTCACAATGATAAAGCTCTGAGCCTTCATAATCCTAAATACTGTGAGAAAACCTATATGTCAACATGTATTCTTTCATGCTTTACTAAATTTACAATTTGAAATAATTCATTATTCTGTTAGCTATTTCAAACACTTGAGCACTCATTTACCATTCTGAAAATTTACAACTTCCATCAGAATG